GGGCACCCCCAGGTGCTGCTTTGGCCCATCGGGGGGTCTTCCGGTCCATAAAAAATCCATAAAAAGTTTCGTGGTGTTTGGACTCCGTTTAATATTTTTTGTGATGTAAAAAAACAAGCAAAAAAAACAGCAACTGGCACTGGGCACTAGGTCAATAGGTTAGTCCCAAAAAATGATATAAAGTTGCTATAAAATGATTTTAAAACATCCAAGAATGATAATATATTGGCATGAATACTTCATAAATTATAGATACGTTGGAGACGTATCAAGGGGATGCGGACAATGTGTGGATGAAGATGGCGACTTGCATTCGTAAGATGGCCTCGGAGGAGTTTGGAGTGTCCAGGGGAATGAGAAGCGAACATAAGGATACCTGGTGGTGGAATGATGATGTCCATAAGGCAATTAAAGAGAAGAAAGATTGCTTTAGACGCCTATACCTGGATAGGAGTGCAGACAACATAGAGAAGTACAAGATGGCGAAGAAGGCTGCAAAGCGAGCTGTTGGTGAAGCAAGGGGTCGGGCATATGAGGACCTCTACCAACGGTTAGGCACGAAGGAAGGCGAAAGGGACATCTATAAGATGGCCAAGATCCGAGAGAGGAAGACGAGGGATATTGGCCAAGTAAAATGCATCAAGGACGGAGTAGGCCAACTCTTGGTGAAGGACGAGGAGATTAAACAAAGATGGCGGGAGTACTTTGACAAGCTATTCAATGGGGAGAATGAGAGTTCTACCATTGAACTGGACGGCTCCTTTGATGAGACCAGCATGCATTTTGTGCGGCGAATCCAAGAGTCTAAGGTCAAGGAGGCTTTAAAAAGGATGAAAGGAGGCAAGGCGATGGGCCCTGATTGTATCCCCATTGAGGTGTGGAAAGGTCTCGGGGACATAGCGATAGTATGGTAACCAAGCTTTTCAACCTTATTTTTCGGGTAAACAAGATGCCAGAAGAATGGAGACGGAGTATATTTGTACCAATCTTCAAGAACAAGGGGGTGTTCAGTGTTGTACTAATTACCGTGGAATTAAGCTAATGAGCCATACAATGAAGCTATGGGAGAGAGTCATTGAGCACCACTTAAGAAGAATGACAGGTGTGACCAAAAATCAGTTTGATTTCATGCCTGGGAGGTCGACCATGGAAGCCATTTTCTTGGTACGACAACTTATGGAGAGATATAGGGAGCAAAAGAAGGACTTGCATGTGGTGTTCATTGACTTGAAGAAGGCCTATGATAAGATACCGCGAAATGTCATGTGGTGGGCCTTGGAGAAACACAAAGTCCCAGCAAAGTACATTACCATCATCAAGGACATGTACGATAATGTTGTGACAAGTGTTCGAACAAGTGATGTCGACACCGATGACTTCCCGATTAAGATAGGACTGCATCAGGGGTCGGCTTTGAGCCCTTATCTTTTTTGCATTGGTGATGGATGAGGTCACAAGGGATATACAAGGAAGATATCCCATGGTGTATGCTCTTTGCGGATGATATGGTGCTAGTTGACGATAGTCAGACGGGGGTAAATAGGAAGTTAGAGTTATGGAGACAAACCTTGGAATCGAAAGGGTTTAGGCTTAGTATAACTAAAACCGAGTACATGATGTGCGGTTTCAGTACTACTAGGTGTGAGGAGGAGGAGGAGGTTAGCCTTGACGACCAGGTGGTACCTCGGAAGGACACCTTTCGGTATTTGGGGTCAATGTTGCAGGAGGATGGGGGTATTGATGAAGATGTGAACCATCGAATCAAAGCCTGATGGATGAAGTGGCGCCAAGCTTCTGGCATTCTCTATGACAAGAGAGTGCCACAAAAGCTAAAAGGCAGGTTCTACAGGACGGCGGTTCGACCCGCAATGTTGTATGGCGCTGAGTGTTGGCTGACTAAAAGGCAACATGTTCAACAGTTAGGTGTGGCAGAGATGCGTATGTTGAGATGGATGTGTGCCCACACGAGGAAGGATAGAGTCCGGAATGATGATATACGAGATAGAGTTGGGGTAGCACCAATTGAAGAGAAGCTTATCCAACATCATCTGAGATGGTTTGGGCATATTCAGCGCAGGCCTCCAGAAGCTCCAGTGCATAGCGGACGGCTAAAGCGTGCGGAGAATGTCAAGAGAGGGCGGGGTAGACCGAATTTGACATGGGAGGCGTCCGTTAAGAGAGACCTGAAGGATTGGAGTATCACCAAAGAGCTAGCTATGGACAGGGGTGCGTGGAAGCTTGCTATCCATGTGCCAGAGCCATGAGTTGGTTGCGAGATCTTATGGGTTTCATCTCTAACCTGCCCCAACTTGTTTGGGACTAAAGGCTTTGTTGTTGTTGTTGTTGTTGTTGTTGGAAAAAGAGACATAGATAAATAAATATAATTTTACTTACATGTGGACCTAAAACAAAATCACTATCACTTCACTATCACTTCCATACTTACATGTGAGACCAGCACTTTTGAAAAGACACAAATAGCGAATACAAAGTTAAGACCATGCTCTTGGCTTTAGTTTCTCTACCCAATAACTTTTCTTACACGGCCACTTAAAATTCTCCAACACATGCCGCGTGCAAACCGCTTCTCCTCATTTCGTTCTCTTTTAACTATGAAGAACATAACAGTAGCAAGACACCAATATACGTTGATGATCTACTAAGCCACGATCTACTAAGCCACTGGCCTAACTTCTCACCTTTAGTTGGCTTCACTGCAATGCACGAGCATTATGCTAGTCATGGTAGAACACGTGGAGTAACCAGTGTCATTTGTCAACAAAACCATGACTACAAAACATGGCGATAAGCACCTACGACTAAATCAACATTCTTGCGAGAAAAAAGTATAGATAACCCCCAGAAGTATCCCGTTTGGATCACATAACCCCCCAATGTTTAAAACCGAGTTCTTAATCCATCCCCTGAACTTTTCTAAACCGGACATATCACCCCGTGGCACCCACTTAAGTGGTTTGGGAAGGTGGTTTTGCATATGTGGCGCCTGGGCTGGGCCCATCGACCGGCCACGTCGGACTGGGCCTGCTGGGAGTGATAGATGATTACATTGCCCCATGCTACAAGATCTCTGAGTACAACAAGATATATGATCATGTCCTGCAACCAGTGGAGGGAAAAGAGAGTTGGCCAATTGCTGACATGCCAAAACCTCATCCACCTCCTTATAGGGTAATGCCAGGAAGAAAGAAGACAAAAGGAAGAAGAGAAGAAGGTGAGAAACCTCAGGGGAACAAGCTTTCGAAGAAAGGCATTAAAATTGCTTGTTCTATGTGTGGGAGTTTTACTCATAACAAGAGAACCTGTGAGCAGAATCCAAACAGAGGTAAGAAACAAAATGCTAGCTACACAAGAGCAGCAAAAAGACAAGGAGAAAGCAGCAAAAAGATTTAGAAAAAAACACACAACAGGTAACTGTTATCTCTAAATTTTAATGTGATATATGTTCTCTCTGAAAATCAGTACTGATCATTTTGTTTCAGGTGGCACACCTAGGGAAGAGGACAAAGAAGCAACCAACATCTACTTCAGCAAGACCATCTTCTCAAGCAGCATCTAATCCAACAAGAAAGAAACAATCAGCCGCAAGTCAAACTGCAATGCCTACTGCATCTTCTCAACCAGTTCCAAGGGGAAGCCACAGTAGGAGTCACAACAGGGCTTCTTCAAGCTCACAGCAGATGCAAGTGCCAAGAAATAACAGGCTGGAATGGCTTCTCATTGGGAAAAAGTGAATGCCCAGATTGTTTTTCAATGTCACGTAGTTGATGTGTAACACCAGATAGAAGTGTGTGCTTTTATTTGATGTGAAACATCAAATTCCTTGACAATTAAGTATTGTTTGTGGAGTTTTGCATGTCAAAGACCTGTAGCTTTTATCAGGTTGAACCTGAGTATGCCATGGAACTTATTGTGTGAATTTAAGATCTTCAATGCTATGGAAATTTGTTATCTATTTCTGAATTTGATGCCAATAATTTGTACACTTCTGATAAAATATCTTGCAACACACTATTCCATACAGAACAGTACAGTGATAAAATATTTGCTGTCAAAAGTTTCCTTCTTTTACATAGCATTGCATACAGAACAGTATAATGATCAACAATTTGCTCTGAAATTATATTGCTGTAGTACACTGCTGAAAAATTACAAAGCTCACACTAAGTCCATTGGGAGGCGAAGAGGCTGGGTCTGGGTCGAACCTGCTCGAGGGCGTCGTTTAGACCACACCCAGCAGGCCCAGTCCGACGTGGCCGGTCAATGGGCCCAGCCCAGTTGCCACATATGCAAAACCACCTTCCCAAACCACTTAAGTGGGTGCCAGGGGGTGATATGTCCGGTTTAGAATAGTTCAGGGGATTAAGAACTCGGTTTTAAACATTGGGGGGTTATGTGATCCAAACAGGATACTTCTGGGGGTTATCTATACTTTTTTCTTCTTACGATAGCAATACCTTCAAAAGGTTACCAGGAAGAGAAGTTACAAAAAACACCCTGACAAATTGAACTTAGTTTCCTTCAAATGGTCTTTACGGGGTTTTTTTTTTTTGACCTGGCCTGTAAGAGCTACAAAATGTCTAAGAAAAATAAAACCTGTCATGAGTATTGTACAGTCTACAGCCCGCTTATACGGATTTACAAAGATGCAAAAACTTGCAGTTTAGAACGACAAAACCTTTGTCCTTGTGGACTTAAGTTAAGTGTACAAAAATTGAGCACCTCTGAAATGTTCCATTTGCCTGAGCGATATACCAACATCACAGTACACCAGAGGAGCCATTTTGTATGCTGGCAGCTTCAGCCGGAGGTAAGCAGGCAGAGCACCAGGAGTTCCAGAGCACAAGTTGTGACAAAGATACCGACCTGTTGGTTCAGTTGTACACTTTTCGGACTCAGAGAAGACTCGCTTTCTACTGCAGCTATAGACTAGAGTCGTTCAAAAGGAGGTTCTGCAGCAATAGGAAGGCTTGATTGAAAACTCAGGTGAATTTGCCGAGTTCCCTCTTCTTAGTGATTGCCCTCTGGCCATGGTAGACAAACGAATCTATGATTCCAGAAACAGTGAACACGCCTGTAAAACAAGAGGACATGTGCCTTTGGTCATTGGTTGAACTGCTGAAAGGATGTTGGCCATATTGATTGAGTTCATAGTTTTCCAAGTCCAGGACATGGCTAGCAAAGGGGTCATATTTTACTCATGAATCAGGAATGGCCTTAATTAAATGTTCAACTGAAGCATAACAGTTCAGTAAACATATGAACATAAAAGGCATGATTCAACAGAAATAGCTAATTAGTTTAAAGAAAAAAGGCACCAAGGGAAATATTACCTCCAACAATAGCGCATACATTAGTTAAGAAGTGTAAGAATGACACATGGTGCTCCGTGAACGTGACCTGTTAAAGGCATGTATGCTAAAGTTATACAAATATACTGACTGATGCCTTGCAAAAATATCAATATAAAATGCATGACTAAAGGTCTCGAGGAAAAAAAATCCCCCTGTCATCTGAATAATAAAGACAATCAGTGAATGTCGTAACAGATGACTGAACTAATGGAAAACAACAGAATGGAGTATAGTCAAGCCAAATTCAAGTACTTCAAGATGGTACCTTAATTGGTGAAAGGTCATAAAAGAAAAACACGCCAGGAAGAGCTTGTACCCGACCACTATCACCACTTCTGGAATGTTCTGTCACAGAAAACTACAGCAAAGAATAACAGCATCTTGAGAAATGCTAATAATATAAATGCACCCACATAAGTTATTACGCTTGTGCACACAAGGGAGAAAGTCACAAGATACCTGATTGGAGAGAATAATTTGCTCATTTAGGTGAGAGTATACAGTGGGAACAACCTGGAAAACAAGAGGGCAAAAGTAGAGCATGATAATATTATAATCATGTGTTCGGACTACAATCATGTTGGAAGTACCAGGAATAACTGAACAAGGATCTAACAAAATCAGGGGCAAATTAGAAATGAAATTAGCAAGTTGAGCTAGCTTTGCAAGGACCGAGAAGACAAACCTTAACAAAGTATTGAGCCATTCCATATGATGAATGCTGGATCCATTGCGCCCTACACATTGGCGAAGTATGAAACGTCAAATCATCACATATTTTTTTCTCAAACACACAAAAGGATATGAGGAAATCAACAACATTACAAACAAAACAGAATTTACCCGTCAAGAGGATTGATCACACCAGGAAAGGGTTCTCCAAAACTCAACTTATTTATCTTATGGCTGAGCTGGCATTGTAAAGGATAAAAGGATAAGTTTGGATATTTAAAGCAAGAATATTGGCAAGAAAAACCTCAGTATGTCAAGTACAAAGAAATATTTACAAATTACATTGAAGCTATCCTTTTGGAATGGAAGCAGATCGTGAACATGAACATTTGACTGCTGGAAGCTTTTCCCTGGAGCAAAGTGGAAATTCCCAGCAACCTTGTTAATTTCCAGAATGCCATAAATGTTGCATCCTTCACCTTCTTCATCTTTTATTGTTTGAAGGAAGCCCTCGCTTTTGCACTACAGAACAGTGCACACCATACAAATTAAATTTCCTTGAAGGTGAAGGAAACACACAAGTTACATGAAGGGTATCATATGTTATATGCGTAGCCCAAAATTCATTGGTGTACCTGATCGATCGAATCTGGATTTGATACGCCCCAACCTTTTTTTCTGTATGCTTCACGGACATCTTCACATGAGTTACAACATTGTTCGGGAGACTGCATTCAAATAATATATTCAGTTAAAGTGCATACCAGAATAGCAAATGCGTTGAATGCAGGTAGCATTGTGGGAGCACTACTTAACAGCCTATTCATCTGAGTAGAACACAACAACAACAACAACAACAACCAAATAGAAGAGAAGCTGAAAATTCTTTGAGCGGCACTAGTTGACATTAGGTATTAGTATTACATAAGTGAGTTGAAACATAGAAATTACACTTTCAAGCAGCATCGATGTAATGGAGAAACACAATAGATTGCCAGAAAGATATGGAATTAATAGTACAGTAAGCAACATGAAGAACACTGCTAATGAGAACAATTGAACAGTATGGTTAGAAAACAAAAAATGATCTGAGCCTGATCCAAGCCACACAAATATATGTGAATAACTCCAGATGTAGCTGTCAGGTGTGCCTTTTGCTCCTTAACAAGTACGACTTGTGCATAACCATGATGTAGTTATCAGGTGTGCCTTTTGCTCTATAACTCATAAGACTGGAACTAGTGGTGGCTAATTCACATCCAGAATTTCAAATGGAACATTTTAACGTAAACATGACTAAAAAAGTTGGAATCAGCCGACAATTGAATATTTCAAAACTTATCAACAACAAAGAAGTTCATGTAGCAGTTTCTGAAAGGTAATGAGAATAAAATAGTGAACAATAGATTATTAAAAAATTGCTGCAAGTCCAAGAGAAGTCCATAAGTTTTTGCATATTACGGGTAAGGAACGAAATACTATGTATAATAACAAATGAGCATACTTCTTGTGCACCATAACATGAGCCACAATAGGTCTCATTGTGTTCAAGCCTTCCACCATGATGTTGTAAAGGTTTTTCCACCTATAAAAGGTCAACAATAAAAAGAAAACATGAGTCTTCAGGTCTAATAAAATGTATCAGGAATTGAACAATACGCCACCTAGCTGGTAATTTACTCAACAATACATATGCATGTCAGGTAACAGTTCAGATAATACGTGCAGAAAAAATCCTCATAGCCTTTATGAAATGGATTTAGGCCATTTCCATGGCCACAAATGCATTCTTAATAGTTGAGGTGTATGATTATTTAGAAGAATGTAACTTTGGAATAAAGAACACTATATTATAGTAGAAGTTATAAGTGTAAGGTTTAATAGAAAAAATGAGTCACTGACCTTCATCCCACCAACTGCATCTTGCTTAGTTGCAATAACTTTTCCGTGTGCATCGATTCGCTGCTTGAATACATCATGTTTCTACATAGAGCATTATAGTGAAACAAGCTAGTTACTACAACCTAGCAGCCAGATAGATCAACCATAACTTGTACTGGGTAAAAAGAAATAAAGAATATGCAATATAGTGAGACAGAAACATCTGAAGCAGCATAGGTAGCAACAATAACAATACAAAAATACATACCACATCAAGGTGCTCTTGTCCACTGATGTCCATCACATCAACACTAATTATAGAACACTGAAGGGCTGGAAAGGTGATATCAAACTGCATTTTGTAGCATCAGACCAAAGGTAGATGTTAGCAAGTGTCTGAACAGAAAGCAGTATATATCATTGGTTAACAATTATCATACATTCATACAAGATACTAATTCTTGAAAGAGAAGGCTCGGTGTGGGGAAATGATATGCAAGAAAAAGAAAAAACGGTTGGCAGGTCAAATTAAAGAAAATTAGGAACGGGGCGGTTGTTAGTAATTGGTGAATTAAGAAAAAGAAACAGCTATTACATTTATGCGAAGTTTTTCTCCTCTTGAGGTATCAACCCTTAGTGTTGTCTCTGTAACTGCATGAAGATACAATCCTGCATGGTGAAACATCAACTGTTGAATATAAGATGATTAATGAATGGTAATAGAATACTTAACAGAGCATAGTTTAGGTTAACATTAATTCTCCTAATCTTCCGATTCCTGGACATTTCATGAAGTAAAATACAGAAGCAACCTAAGACATGTGCATATTCACATGGTATTCATGTAAAATTTGAAACACTAAGATCAAGCAGCTCTTTATTTTCCTCCTCGAATAATTTTACAGGTAAACTTAGTGTACTAATAATTAAGAGCATCTACAACCAGAGCCCTCAAAGCCGCCCCCAAACGCCCGGGCTAGACACCAGAGGGAGCTCGAACTCCGTCGCGTCCGCTGCCAGCTCCTCCGGGCCCCGCCGCCGCAATGCTCCTCCTCGCCCGCCCCGCGCATGCCCGTCCTGCTCCAGATCCGGAGTAGGGTGGCCCCCTCCCCTTCCCCTCCTGCGCCAGCTCTGCCCCGGGCAGCATTTGGTGCTCGTGCCCACGGCTCCTGTGCGGATGCGGATGCGGATGCCGGAGTCGGAGGCCAAGGCCACCCACAGCGAGCGGCAGCGGGCCGCGGCAGAGGCCGGCTCTTCCTGCCAAGGCGCCCGTTCCGTCCCCATCAACTCGGAGGAGGCGCTCCTCCGCGAGGTCATGTGCCCTTTGCTGACCACGGCGGAGTTGGACGCTAGGCGCCTCCGGCGCAAAAATGCGAAGGCGCTCCGGCTCGGGCTCGAAGCTTCGGAGCGCCTCGCGAGGGAGAAAGAGACCGCCATGGCCAAGGCGGCCCGCAACGCAAAGGAGCAAGCCCGCGCCATCAGCCGCCTCTCCAGCTACATCTCATCGGCGTCGAAGAGCGGCACCACTAGCACGGGCGACGTCGATGATCCTCCCGTCGCGGACGAGTACACGGAGGAGATGGACCGCTGCGCCGATGACCGCAAGGACCCGAAATGGTGATCTCCGCCTCTCCTCGTCGTCTAGCTAGCTATATGAATATTTTGTATCTAGTAAAATCGGGCAAACTATGTCTTTTGTGTCTGATGGAATGTCCGATGAACTATGCCCGAATCTATCTACATCTCTCGTTCAATCTATTGTGATGTTCATCTACGTTGTTGCATGCATTGTATGGAATTGGGTATTCGGATATGGGGACTGCGATTGTGGACAGGGGGAAACAGGGACTGCCCGGTCAGTGCCAGCGGGCGCGTCCGGACATGTCCGTGGGCGTATAGAGCCTCATATTAGGCAACTGTGGTTGTAGATGCTCTAAATGGTCTTTGTCACACATGACCATTATGAAGATAGTCTAACTCTGATCAACATGACTCCTACTTTAGCCTATATAGGTATACCAGAGCAGAAGTAAAGCTGATTTCTACTATCGAATGTCTGTGCCCTGAGGCTTATGTATGCAAAACTGTTCTTCCAGGTCACTAGAGTCCCTAGGTTAAAGTAAACATATCATCGGCTTATCACCTAAGTGGCACACTGTTTTCCACACCTGATTAACCACGAATGACAAAAAAAGTAACACTAGATTCTCCATGCTGTGCAAGGTTTCAAAGTTCACTAGATACAGTAGAATTAAACGACAACATGATTAACCAAGCACAGCGCAAAAGTAACACCAGAATCTCCGAAACTGTACAACTGTTCAGTAGATGCATCAGAATGAAACAAGTAGACCACCAATGATGTACGCACGAACAAAAAACAAGGAACAGGCCAAGCTAGACTTTGTTGCAAAACCATCACAATAACACATTTGGGAGGAGAACTAAGGGCTCAATTCCAGTCTCACAAACCAAATGAACGCAGTAAGTCCGTCTATCTGATAGTACACCACAAATTATCTAAACAGACCACGAGATCTCGGCACAAGCGGGCAAAACCAAATGCAACAATGGGCGACTGCTTTGCTAGCGCACTAAATCAGGCAAAGCCCGAATCAGAAATTCACACGGTTAAATCGTACGGAGGCCGCAGGAGTGTACTGAGAATCTGAGATCCGAGCGAGGGAGGTGCGTACGGAGCTCGGAGACGAAGAGGAGGAGCATGATGAAGGAGGAGGCGAGCGTGATGGCGCCGCCGGAGAGGGTGCGGCTGTAGAAGTCCTCGTTCACCTTGGGGTACGCGTCCAGGCTCCGGAGCTTGGACAGGAGCCCGTACATGGCCGGAGGATCTGGGCGGCGCTGCCCCCGACGACGCCGCGGGGAGGATTTCCGGTCTTGGTTGAGGGACCGGTGGGGTGGGGACGGACGACCGAGGCTGTTTCAATTTATTTTTTTCCGAGGAGCCTTGCCCGGGGAGTTGTCTGATCGGAACGGGAATGGAGCACGGGGGACGAGCCGCCGGGCAGGTGTTAGCTGGCTGGATTTCTCCTCCTTTGCACTTTCGCTCTTTTTTTCTTCTTTTCTTTACGGGTACTTTTTCTTCTTCTTTTAGCGTGTTTCGGTAAAGTTAGGCGTGGCCAACCGATCTGTGGTTGAATGATTAGGTGGACAGTGGTATTCCAGCCCATCAGTATTCATATTTATTCTGAATTTATTTTAGAATTTCCGACGATGCGTGTTCAGTGAAAAGAGATGTTTCCGTCAACTACGAGGCGCCTAATATGACTTATAAAATCTCAAGATGAAATGCTGACTCAGTCTCTTGAAGGTGCTCGTAAAAATACAGAGTGCGTGTATGCATCCATAGAGGTGAGGGTGTACCCATATATATAAACACTTGTGTCTGTACTGATGTTCAAGAAGTAAAATTAGGCGTGGTGGTTTATACTCCCTTCCGTGTATTTTTTTCACAAATGTTTTTTTACTAAAATATCAAAATATAGTGAACCGGGCATAATTAAATGCCTAAGTTTCTTATAGTGGAGCTGGTCCATCCGGTTCAAGTTCTAGATTTGATAGGTGGGCATTTTTCTAGATTTATTTTAGTGTTTTTTGCGTTACTCTTTTGATGGTATAGTGTGGGCTCTTCCCCCGCCGAGGAGCTCGAGTCGGGCCCTCCTCCTCTTCCGGTCCCGCTCCCATGCGGCCGCACCGGGGTGCCCCTGCGGGCTCGAGCAAGCCACCCCGCGCCTCCTTCTCATCTCGCCGCCGCCGGAGGCGTCGCCGGGCAAAGCCCTGGCGGCACGGCGGCGGTGGGACCCCTCGGTCACCGTTCTCGAGTGCGGGGCCGGCGTTGCTCCGCTGATCCACGCGGTGATGCTTGTATCGTGGCCTGAAGCAGGAGCGACGTCTTCAGGGCGGGTGGTACGCAGCGTGGTCATGCGTTGCGGCTGCCTTCTCCGATGCTGCTCTGACCGAAGATGTGGGGGCCTGCCGGTGTGCTCGAATAAAGGCGACGGTCCTAGGGTTCCTCTTGCGCCAAGACGAAGATTTGCCTGACGTCTGTCCTTCCGATCTGGCCAGAGTGGCGGGTTCCGGAAGGCTCCGCCGGCGAACTCCCATGGGCGTGTTATGCCTGGAGATTGCTGGACCGGGTGGGATTCGGTCATGCCCGTTGGTTCTCCGTTAAGAGCGAGCGACACGAAGCTCTGCTATCTGTTGCCATCAGGAGATATGTTGGGGAATGTAGTATTTCAAAAAAATTGACTACGATCACGCAAGATCTATTTAGGAGAAGCATAGCAACGAGCGGGAAGAGTGTGTCCACGTACCCTCGCAGACCGAAAGCGAAAGCGTTTAGTAACGCTGTTGATGTAGTCGAACGTATTCGCGATCCAACCGATCCAAGTACCGAACGTATGGCACATCCGCGATCAGCACACGTTCAGCTCGGTGACGTCCCTCGTACTCTTGATCCAGCTGAGGCCGAGGGAGAGTTCCGTCGGCACGACGGTGTGGCAATGGTGATAATGAAGTTACCGGCGCAGGGCTTCGCCTAAGCACTACGACGATATGACCGAGGTGTGTAACTGTGGAGGAGGGCACCGCACACGGCTAAAAGATCAACTTGTGTGTTCTAGGGTGCCCCCTTCCCCCGTATATAAAGGAGGGAGCGGGAGGCCGGCCGGCCCTAGGGGCGCGCCCAAGGAGAGGGAGTCATACTAGGATTACCAATCCTAGTAGGATTCCTCCACAAGGAAGAGAAGGGGAAGGAAGGAGAGGGAGAGGGAGTAGGAAAGGGGGGCGCCGCCCCCCTTCCCTTGTCCAATTCAGACTGCAAGGGGGTGGGGCGGCCTGCCCTGGCTGCCCTCCTTTCTTTCCAACAAGGTCCATGGTGGCCCATTAGTTCTCCCCCCCCCCTCGGGGGGGGGGGGTCTGGTAACCCCTTCGGCACTCCGTTTTTACCCAAAACTATCCGGAACACTTCCGGGTCTGAATAACATGGTTCAATATATCAATCTTTATGTCTCAACCATTTCGAGACTCCTCTTCATGTCCATGATCTCATCCGGGACTCTGAACAACCTTCGGTCATCAAATCACATAAACCCATAATACAAATCGTCATCGAACGTTAAGCGTGCGGACCCTATGGGTTCGAGAACTATGTAGACATGACCGAGACACATCTCCGGTCAATAACCAATAGCGGAACTTGGATGCTCATATTGGCCCCTACATATTCTACTGTTCGCACACGAACACGTCACCGTGTACCTCCAACACCGAGGGTGATGCACCGCAGCTCACGTCGGGGGAGACCCGTCCGAAAGCACGGTACGCAAGAAATCCGGCAGGTGCTTTTCAGGACCCGAAACCCCACGCGCCGGGGAGGGACCTCGTCTGGACGTGCGGCGGCAATGGGCTGCCCTAGGTCGGTTCGCCCGCCCCTAGAGGCTCAAGGATCGCTGCCCTTCAATACGAGAACGAGAGAGAAAGAACAAGGGAGGGATAAAATTAGGGTCGTAAAAAGTAGATGGTTTTGTGATTGTGTGTTGTTGTTCAATCGACCATCACCTCTTGTCTATATAAGAGGCGGATGGACTTCCCATACAAAAAAGGGACTTTCCTAGCCGTCCAAATCATCAAAACCTAACAAAACACAGACTATTCACGACCTCCGGCCCGGATGCCCGGCTCAAGGCCCGGATGATCCAGCCTAGCCCAGTTTTCTGACAGCACCTCACTATTTTGACTCTAGAATCCACATACGACCTCGAATTTGGACGATTTTTATATCAAAATCAACCGCCTCGACGAGACACACAACTTTCATGTTGAACACTTTTTTATCTGAGGCCATCTTGAGGGTGTTTCAGGCCGTTTTCTAAAGTCTGTAGCAGAAAAAGTTGTCCGGACGTCCGGACTTCTACCCGGATTGTCCGGCCTCCATCCGGATCATCCGGGACTGGACCCAGAGCATCTGGCCTCATCACAAAACTTCTAGTGTCTTGGCGCTTCAATTTCCCGGATGTTCCGGACCCCGGCCCGGATGATCCGGCCAAACATTGCTGCAGCACACGGTTTTGCCTGTAACTTTTGCATATGATCTCGGATGGGGACGATTTTTTTTATCAAAATCATCCGCTCGACGAGATGAAGAACTTTGCAGTTGTAACTTTTTCCATCATAGGCCATCTTAATTAGGTTTCATGCCATTTTCGGTTCTGCTGTCAACACGGGTTTCTCCGAAATTGTTATATCGTTTGCACCAGAGCTCCATTTTGAACCATCTTCATATCTATTTCGATCATCTTGAAGAGAGCCATAAATTGGTGACATGAACTCATAATTTTAACCTCGTCTCATTATAGCCTCAATTCACTCTTTGCGATCATGCCATTTTCGAGCGTCAACACATGCTCCCCTATTTTTCGGCAAAGCTAGCGTGCCAAAAAATATCTTGCAATACGTTGGTCTAAGGATGATGTCAACACTCCATCGGCCATTTATATGCGCTTAGGGCAATAATTTCTATATCGGCCATGTTTATGCTTAGGGCGATAATTTTATATCGGCCATTGATTTTAACTTCTTGTTCACATCATATCTTGTAACCGATTACCACCAATCAGCTTTAAAGAGATGGGAATGAACCTGTTCCTTGTAGCACTAAGGAAATCAAACTTCGAGAGGTCACACACTGTTAAGAAAGTAACATCAGGGTGATTCCAATCCACCGATGCATCAGCCAAATCAACACAAGCCGAATTATCCATGAGAATGACTTCTACCTCATCATCGACCCATTGTATTAAAAATTGATGCATGGTAGATGGCACACATTGGTTCGCATGAACCCAATCGCGGCCTAATATAACATTATAGTTACCTTACACCTCGGCGATGAAGAATGTGGTGGCCAAAGTTTTACTTCTCATGGTGAGTTCCATGCACATCACACCTTTGGCCTCTGTCTTTTCTTTACCCTCAAATCCATTAAGTACCATATTGGTCTTCATCAATGCATCATCATCTAACCCCAACTTCTTGAAGACCGAGTAGGGCATAAGATTTACCACAACACCACCATCAACGAGCATACTAGCAACCGACGATCCGTTAATATGACCTTTGAGGTACAATGGCTTCAAGTGTTTCACCGGTTCTTTTGGCTTCTCGAAGATAGCATTCTTAGGACCAAAATCCAGTTGGGCTACCTCCCCTTCTTCACCTATAGCACGAAACTCGACAGGTAAGTAATATACCATAGTAATATCCATACCTTCCCGAACCGGCGTAGATTCATAATCCACCATCTCATCTTCATCTCCCAATGTGAATATTGGGCTTAAGGATTCCTCCATTGAAGGGGATGTTTCAGGTGGTGTGGACGATGTAATAGGGGTCGCATCATCCTCTTTTGGTGGTGAAGGTGTTGCTGCAGCTAATGTAGAAGCATCTATGTTTTGCTTTTTCTTAGACCACCACACTTGTTTTGTGAGTGCCATGGGCCGAATTTCAATGAATAATTCGTCCATTTGCTTCTCTTCTTTGCGCTCTACCTTCTCGTGGCTCCTCATGTATTGTAATCTCCTTTTCATGGTCTTAGTTAAACCGGGAGGACACCACTTAGGTTGAGTATATTTGGGATCCCTAGGTTTGCCCTTTCTTATGCTTGCCTCATGATTATTAACCATGGAACCCTGCTGAACAATAACAATATCACCATTAGAAGTAGCCAGATTACCAACAACCGTCTTTTTGATCTCCTTTTGCTTGTCGCATTCCGAAATTTCCACATTAGGTGACTTAACACGCCACACTTTTTTATTGGC